AAAACTCTGAGGTAAGGCTGCATGGGCATCTCGTCCTGACGTTGCCATGGGGTAGGTCAGCTTGTGATCTCAGACCAATTACTCAAGCTTTCTGTGGCTCATTTTTTTTTTTTATATGCAAAATGGAATATTTAAAATCTCTATCTTTTAATGTTTCTATGAGGAATACATGAATCAATACAAGTAAAGCTTAAACTAGTACTTGGCACATAATTATTCTAACTACTGCTAGATCAGTGGTCAGCAAACTCATTAGTCAACAGAGCCAAATATCAACAGTACAACGACTGAAATTTCTTTTGAGAGTCAAAATTTTAAACTTAAACTTCTTCTAATGCCACTTCTTCAAAACAGACTTGCTCAGGCAGTGGTATTTTGTGGAAGAGCCACACTCAAGGGGCCAAAGAGCCGCATGTGGCTCGCGAGCTGCAATTTGATGACTATGGTGCCAGATATTTAAGTTGTTTCAAATTGAGATAGCATTTCCTACTATAAAATTACTGAAGAATGCAATTGTTAACGAATATTTTTATAATTTCAGAATATGTTTAGGGTAGAATCAAAGTTTTAAGATTATAGCTATTGTTAAAATAGTTTATATGCACTTATCTACAGTACAGTACAGTTTGTTTTCTCTGTAGGGAGATAATTATGCCCAAATCAGAATCACCTGTGGGACTTTTGCAACGCTCCTCTTATCCTCTCCCCATCATCTTCATCCTCCCTCCCCCAGATGACAAGAATCAAAATCTCCAGAGCATTTGAAACTTATCTTCTTAATGTAAGGTGACCAGATGTCCTGCTTTTGGCGGAACAGTCCCGATTTTTAACAATTTGTCCCGCGTCACACAGGACGCGGGACAAATTGTTAAAAATCAGGACTGTTCCGCCAAAAGCAGGATGTCTAGTCACCTTATCTTAATGTCTTCATATGCAAATGGAGTATATCACTATGTGTGTCCTAGAGTTGTGATAAATAAATAAATGAATGAATGTGCATAGGACTTTACCCGTTCTAAGCACTCATTGTTAGTCCTTATTACATTATTATTACAAATAATTAAATGTATTATTTATACTCCTAGGAATGTATACAGTTATTTATTTTATTACCCCTTATCAGTTTTGGGAATAATTATTTTAAAATTTGTTTTAAATTATTAAATGTTATTTTGAAATATTTTATAATCCTGTAAGAAAAAGTAGTATTTTAGTCTTAATTTGTTTTCCTTTGGTTACTGTTGGATTTGAGCTTTTCTCAAAAGTTAATTAGTCTTGTAGTTTTGTATGTATGTGTCAGAAAAAATGAGGTAGAGAGAGGGGGGTGGATATCAGGATCTATTTATTTTAGAAGGATCTTGATTTTGTACTTCTTTTACTTTTTATTTGGTGGGATATGTAGGTGTGGGAGTGTGTTGCTCTTTTGATAGTAAGGATATTACCGTATTTTTCGGACCATAAGACGCACTTTTTCCCCCCCCAGAAGTGGGGGGAAAAAGTCCCTGCGTCTTATGGTCCAAATATAGCCTACACATATACTTTAAAAAAAAAGTTTTTTTACTTGCCCGGCTCTGTGTGGTCTCTGTGTGCTTGCCCGGCTCTAAAATGGTTCTAAATGCTGCTGTTTACTTTACAGGGTTGATTACATGTGTTTATGACTGTGATGTTGGGTTTTAATGCACATAAAATATTTTAGGACACTATTTGTTTCAGAACTTTTTTTCTTCATTTCCCTTCTCTAAAAACTGGTGCATCTTATGGTCCGGAGCATCTTATGGTCCGAAAAATACGGTATTCTCTATCTGACTGTGTCTAAACCTATTGAACTGTTTTTGTCTCCCTGTGGTCAGTATATGATTCTAAACTTGCAGGCGTCTTCAAACTATGGCCCGCGGGCCACATGCAGCCCGCAGAGGAGTCTGATCCGGCCCGCCAGGTTTTTTGGGCAGTGAGCGCAGCCAAGGTGTTACAGTAGGAATTAGTAGTTCATATAGTCCGGCCCTCTAGCTCTCTGAGGGACCGTGATCTGGCCCCCACTTTAAAAAGTTTGAGGACCCCTGTTTCTAAGCCATCTGGTTAATTAAACATTTTATTTTTTATTTTAAAAAATATATTTTATTGATTTTTTACAGAAAGGAAGAGAGAGGGATAGAGTTAGAAACATGGATGAGAATCATTGACCAGCTGCCTCCTGTACACCCCCTACTGGAGATGGGCCAGCAACCAAGGTACATGCCCTTGACCGGAATTGAACCCAGGACCCTTGGGTCCGCAGGCCGACGCTCTATCCACTGAGCCAAATCAGTTTTGTCTAATTAAACATTTTAGAATTTTACCAGAGACCATTGTTAAACTTATAAGTCTATGGTCCCTGAACTCCATTTTATTTTTCCATTAAAAAATATCTGAAAACATTAGTCAGTTTTCTATCTCCAGCACAACTTAAAATCTTCATGATTGCTCAGAGCTTTCATAAGCACCTGATGGAGATTTTCTGCAGTGCTTTTTGCTTGGACCTAAATGTGGGCAAGCAGAATAAAGATAAAGAGCACAGAGAGGAAAACTGCATAGGTCTACAAATGTGGCCAGTGAGGAAAGCATGGATAGGACTTCTGGGGTGTGTGCTAACAGGTATTGCCTCCCCCAACTCTGCCCAGTTCAGAGTCTGCATCCCCCAGTTACTCTCAGTGAATTTCACTATACCTGGAAAAGTACCTAATATCTGGTTATATTCCTCTAACTTTTTCATCTTCTGGTAACAGTAATTTCTCAATAGTGGCAGATTTAATAGTTACATTTTCTATTATTTGCAAATGACTCCAAATTGCCTGATATACAGTAAATTGTCATTTTGCTGAGATAAGAATTTGAAGGTCTCACACTATTAGGTTGGGTGTGGTCACAAGTCACTTAGTGAGTGATTGTTGTTTCATGTCTACTGTGGCAATGCATTTTAAGAAGGTAATGGTAAGTGATTCAAGGATGTAGGGATTCCAAAGTCTCTGGCTATATCTGCACAAAAAACAAGGCTTTACCCTGTGTGCATGGCCCAGGGCGAGATGATGTCTCTCTTTCCTACCCTGTGCTAATCTTTTGCCAAATGTGAGTAATTAGCAAGGACATGACTTAATTCTCCTACAGCTGCTTTCCAGGTGCACAGTTGTTAGCGATAAAAGTAGTATTATTTAATTAGCTTGTGCTTCATTTACCTGCTCCAGATATTTTCAGTGCTTACTTCTGACTGCTCTTGAGCTGGATTGACATACGGCACATTATCCTGATGAGATGGAAACCTTTTTGGTGTGCATTTGGAGACATTCGGGGAACTCAGGAAATACTTTCATTTTCCATCCAGAGGTTTAATGTTGTGTAGGTGCTGCCTGAATGTTACTTGCTCATATTGACTATAATCTTTTATTCAGCAGGCTACAAAGCTTAGTTTCTTATCCACCTGGAGTAGTGGCCATCATGCCCAGTGCTGCCCAGAATCTCCAATGACAGCAAGACCTGGGAAGTCTTGGGAGATAGAGTGTCACTTGCAGGCAGAGTCCATTATCTTGGAAGCCACTCCTGGAATCACTGTCGAAAGCAATTTCTCAGAGATAATGCTCAAACCTTAGAAGGCTCTTTCCTGCCACTATGATTGAAAGGACAAGGGAGGCAGCCAAGCCATCTTGGTCGGCAAATGTCATCAGTCATGATGAGCCACTAATCCTGATGAGACTTTTGATAAGACTCCGGTGTGATGAAAGATGAGGCCGTGGATGGCAGTTAACTCAGTCATTTGTAATCATTACTTTTTGGCCGTTCAGTAACCATCCTGTGAAATTATTTTGTGCATTTCTCAGAGTAGAGAAAGGAGCCGGATTTTACCCTTTTCCTTTGGTGAAGAAGCCCAGCAGTTATAAATGCTTGAAGGAAATGTCCTCGGGCCCCAGCACATCCAACTTCAAGAACCTTACCCAAATCACCTGCATTGTGTGGGTGATGACAAAGTGTTGGACACACCTGCGCTTTTCCTAGCTGCCCACAGAGTAAGCCCAGAATTCTTTTATGACTAGCATCTGTATTTGCTGTCTCAGATGTTTCCAGGGCAAGATGCGAAGTGGATGGCACTCTCTGTGGCTTCTTGCAGTGTGACTGTAGCCCAGAGCTTCCTTCCCCAGCAGTGTGCATTGGTGTTGCATGCGCCACAGATGGCTGCCAGGTGTGTAGAAGAAATACCAATCTATTGAACCCTCAGCACTCTGAAAGGCTGGATTGGACCAGGAGTGGCTGAAGCCCTCAGTCCATTTGCCTCTAACTTTGGGCAGCTTCTACTTAACCCAGTGGGCCATATAAATATTAGCACTTTCTCTGTGTTTCATGATTTAAAAAAAAAAGTTAGGAAGCACTGACTTAACCTCTTTGGTTTTCATTTTCCTTCTCTGGAAATTGGGCTTTTATTGTTTTGTTTTGTTTTGTTTTGTTTTGAATGTATTAATTTGTTTTGCAGCAAAAATCTTTATTGTTTCCATTTGGTCCAAGCAGAGAAGAGGACTCCATGGTTGTTAAAAGCATGGTAGAGGGCTTGATGGTTGCAGAAGCCAGACAGCAGGAATGCATAGGGGCCTCTCAAAGGCCTGAGAGCGAACCTGTTGAAGAGATAATTGCCCAGCTTAGCCCAGGGGTGGCCAGCATGTGGAGGTGAGTCAGGTGTGGCCCATCGTCCTGATGAGCTTCACCTCCTCACCCAGGAAGTGGTTCTCCAGGAAGTCAGGGAGCTGAGGGTCTATGGGTAGACCTGGGCAGGCGGGTCCACAAGGGCCTGGTTCAGGCTCCTCTCCAAGGCCATGGTGGCTTCCCTGGTGTCCTGAGTTTTGCCCACTCATCTTGGGGAGGCTCAAGCACGTCTTGAAGAGAATGCAGCCACCGCACCGAGCTTGCATATTTAAGAGACGCTCAGCGCCCTCGTGCTTCTTTTCTGCCAACTCTTGAAAGAAGCAGCCTACTCCTCCAGAGCCACATTGTCTGCGTGAAAATAGAAGCCCAGAGAGTGGTAGGTGTGGGAGGCCTGCAAATGCAGGTTGGCCAGGCGGTTGACAGCAACCTCCACCTCAGTGGGATAACTCTGACGAGTTTGGGAGCTTAAGGTTGTTTGGCAATAAGGAGTTAAGGTAAGGATCAGACGTCCTGCTTAAGATCGGGACTTTTTAAAAATGCCGCGGGACGCGGGACAAATTGTTAAAAATCGGGACTGTCCCACCAAAAGCGGGACGTAAAAAACCGGTGTTGGTTGGTCTTGGGAGCTGAAGATGACCAAGGTGATGACTGGAAAAGAAGTTGGAGGCTAGAAGAAGGGGCATTCCTGGGTCTTTTGAAGCAAGCGACGGATCCGGGGGACACGCAGATAGATGTGTCTGAACTGTAAGGTGGGCTTTAACAAAATTATCCCACAAGGCCATCGTGAAGATCAAATACTTGATTGCGTATGGGTGGGCTTGAAGAGCTGCTGCACATTTATCAGATGTTATCACTGGCCACAAAGAGAGAGGACTCTGTCTCCAGTTTTCCCTCAATGGCTGTCCCTTTGAAAATGGGATGGAATTCCACTTTAAAAATCTTTCTCAAGTCATCAAACCAATGTACGGCATCTTATTAAAGTTAAAGCATTGACATAATACATTTTTTATAGTTTTGGGTTCTTGTAACTTCCTTATAGACATCTACCAAGCAGAAGTTCCTTGCTTCCCTGCCCAATGGTGCTGATGACACAGCAGTGTATCTATCTGCCTCCTCTGGTCTCTCTGCATTTGGGTCCCAAGTCCACCCAGGTTCAGGCCTCCCTTCCTGCTATTGACCAGCCTTTGCTCCCTCTTAGCCTGTGTTGCCTTGGAATGGAAATGCCCACAGTTTCAGCATCTGTGCTCTAGGGTATGAGCTGGCTGGTGTAGACCCCTCACGTAGTTCCAGAGAATAACCTCACCTCCTCCTCTCAGTCCTCAGACAAATCTCACGAGTTGAGAGGAACTCCCTTCTGCCCTTTCCTTATCAGTCCTTAAGCCAAATTCTATCTTGATAAGTGTGTGAAAACCAACTCACAAAACAACCTATAATAAAAGCATAATATGCTAATTAGACTGGACTTCCTTGTGGACAAAGCATGGCTGAGAGGGAAGCCTGGGTCTCTGGTGCCTGAGGGAAGCCTGTGCCAGCAGCTGGAAGAAGGAAGGCCTATTCTTACACAAATTTTGTGCCTCGGGCCTCTAGTGTACCATAAAATGTTAACAATTGTTGTGTGGGTGCTGGAGATATGGGTTATATTTGATTTTTTTCTTTAGACCTTCCTGGACTTTTTCTGGTTTTCTTTAGTGAAGCTAAGAGTGTATTAAATTATATTTTCTAAGAGATGCACTCAAGATGTGCTTCATGAAGGCAAATAACAGCTCCGACATTCCTTCATACTTACTGGCTCAAAATTACTGCCTCTGCTTTCTGAGCCAGGTGGTTTGGAGGGTGGAAGTCAGGAGGAAGGGAGAGGAGGCAGCATGTGAACCATTGAATTTCCTCTTTTCAGACATTGCTCTGGCAGCTAATTCCAGGGTGCTCATCTGTATGGTGGCACATGCCTTTCATATTTCCCCCAAGGTGTTTTATGGCCTTTTTATAATGGTACTTTGAGTAACTTTCTCGTGTAACTTCTAAGTAAGGGAAAAATACCGGATGCTTTCTTTCTTTCTATGCACTTTTTCTTTCTTCTTTGTTTCTGCCCATTCCTTATACCTTCTTTCAATTTCTCCCCTCTTCTTTTTTCTCTTTTTTCCAGCTGCTTCCTTTAATCTCTTCACCTACTACTGAAAGCAAAATAAAACCTGGCAGTAAGAAAGAAAGGATTTGGTTATGTTAGTCAGGGCTGTGGTGAGGGAAATGCAAATATGGGTTGACCATTAGGAGCTAGGTGGCTGCAAGAGTGGTTCCAGGGACAGTTTTATCCCTTTTCTGTTTCAGAGGATAATTCACGTTTCAAATTGGTAACAACTGGCATATCTTCATTTAAGTTTACTCTTAAGGTTGTGGGAAGGGGGAATTGCCTGAGAAATCGATACTTAACTTGGGGTCCTAAAATGGGTGACTAGCGTTAACTAGTTAAAGAGAGTGGGATGGGGGCCAGAGAGGTCATTTGTCCTCAGTGAGGAGAATGCTGCAGACACCTGTGATCTGACCTGCTTTTCTGCTGCATGTAATTCAACATCTCTGTTCTCTAGTGGAATCTACATCTCTTCTCTAAGAGGTTCTGGATTAAACAGTGGCGTCACTGTGGGTCCTTACAGCAGGGTTCCTCAGTGACACCTCACTTTTCTTGGTAGTGATTGAGGAGCAGGTGCTCTGGACTGAGATAGTCTTGGGACTATCGAGGCAGATACAAAGGAAGTTGTTATGTCGGCCTCTGTTTTCCCCACCCCATCTAAGTCTTTAGTCAATTCTACTCATCTACTAAAGCATGAATTTTAAAAAATATATATTTTATTGATTTTTTACAGAGAGGAAGAGAGAGATAGAGAGCTAGAAACATTGACGAGAGAGAAACATCGACCAGCTGCCTCTGTATATGCCCTTGACCGGAATTGAACCTGGGACCTTTTCAGTCCGCAGGCCGACGCTCTACCACTGAGCCAAACCGGCTTCGGCTAAAGCATGAATTATTTAGGCAACCTTCCTTGGCCTTATGGATGACGTCAAGTCCCTTTTTAATACATCCTCATAGGGCTGTGTATCTCACCTTTACAATGCATGCCAACATTGAGATGTTACAAGGATTTCTGAGGTGGTTGGATTGCTGCTCCACCATACTTTAAGCTCCTCAGCCTATAAGCTCTAAGAGGGTGATGTTTAATTCTGCTCACTAATGCATCCTATCTGCCAAGGGAAGAGCTTGGCACATAGGAGATACTCAATAAATATTTGTCAAATGAATTAATAACTCTTGGCTCCATATCTTTTGGCTATAGGACCTTAGGCAAGTTACTTAACCTCTCTGAGCCTTAGGTCCCTCAATGGAAATGGGGATAATAATCCCTCATTCAGAAAATTGTGAGATATTGACAATGGTTGTAAAGCACCTCATATTGTGCCTGTATACAAGTAGGCACACACACGAAGTTATGTGTGTGTTTTTTTCTTTCTTATTATTATTTTCTTTTTCATCCTGAGTATTGCAGAGTTGCAGTTTAAAGAGCAAAAATTCATGGGCCCCTATTTCTTTCCCCTCCTCCCTTCTTTATTCCCCTCTTCCTTGGTTGGGTGAGGCAATGAATGAAGGGTCAGAAGACCAGATTCTTGATTTTTCACTAATGAGATGACCTTGGCTAAAGCATTAGTGCTTCCTGTGTTTCAGCCTCCTCATATATGTGGTGGCAAGACAGAAGTAAATGGTCTTTATCATCTTTCCCAACTCTCTCACCCTGGGTCTCTGCATAGGGGTCAAGGGTAACACTGACCACTGAGATTCACAGTACAAGATGAAAGGAATCAAAGAGGAACTGCAGGACCAGAGCCAGGAGAAGCAAATTAGGCTGTTGGCCTATCTATTTTTAATCCAAGCTGAGTTTATTTTAGTAAGACAGGTGAAGAATGTTTTAAAATGCATCATTATGACAATGCCCTTTGGTAGCAGCACAAGGATTTTCTAGTGTGTCTTTCTTCAAAAGAGCCTGAGGGCTTTGTACATACTGTCTCATTAATTCTCAGAGTGTCTCTACAGTTGGACAGGGAAGTAGATGAGTTCTGTTTTATATGCAGAGGAACAAAGCTTCCAAAAGGTTAAGTAGCTTACCCAAGGTTGCACAGTAACATCACTGTTCCCAGGAACCCAGGTCTCTCTAGCCAGCATACCAGCCTGTGAGAGCATTCTGCTTCCAGGCTCTGGAAATGTGTCCACCCATGAGTGAGGTCTTTGTTCTGAGCAATGTGATATTTAAAGTTTTCCTATAGGACAATCTCTTTTTCCTGAAATGAGAGGGATGACAAGTAGATAAAGAGGAATTGGAAAAAGAAAAAAAAAAGGAAGGATTGAAAAGACTAGAAGTTAGTAGAATATCTTACATCTCTCCCTCCTTCCATTGCAAACATCCTTACCCTGGACCAGTTAAGACTCCATCTCAAGGGTCAAGCATCAGACCTGGTTGCCATGGAAACCGTGCTAGCTGAGCTTGAAGCTCCGGAGAGCCAGCTGCATTCACTAAAGGTGTGTGAATCTAAGTCACCTGCCCAGCTGACTGAAGGGATTCTGTCATCTTCTCTTAGGAGAATGTTGCAGGCATCTACAACCTCATCAATCTTTCTGCTGTATTTAACTCAGGGGAGCTGTTTTCCAGAGCAATCAACATCATCTCCAAGAGATCTGTGTTGGAGTGTGGCATTCCTGTTCAGTCCACATATCAAGCATCCTTAGCTGTATGTTCTATCCTGGTTCTCACTCTCTGTGACCTACGGTAGGGCAGTTGTGCTTTCTGAGCCTCAGTCTTCTCGGTTAGAAAAGGGGTTAACTAACAGGATGATTATGGGGCTTGAGAGGGAATGGCTCTGAAAGTCATCAGTGAGTCATAAGTCATGATGAACATGTTTAATAGTTAGTACCCATGCTTCTGTGGTTACCAAGTCTTGTGAAAATGGGCCATGATCTTCCCTTGGGTCACCCTGGTAACTGTCTCTTCCCAACTTGACTCATCAAGTACAGAAAAGAGCCAGGTGTTTCTGGACAGTTTGTAGCTTCTTGTTTAATTTACCCAGAAACTATAGGCACTCTCTTGCCCTGAAAGAGAAAAGTATTTCATTGATGGTCTTGGTTTTCCAGGCTGTCAGGTCTTTGTGTCACTTGCAGTATATTAATTATTTAGTGCTCAGTTAAAGCTTTCTGAGATCACAAGATGAAAGGCCTTGTGGCAGTTCAAAGTCTTCCTTTGGATTATTATTCTAGTCAACATATTTTATGGAGAGAAAATAATGGAGTAAATTTCTTAAAGAGTGAAGTACAAGCAAACCACAAAAATGGGCTCAAAACAAATAGTCATGTTGCCCTTGCTAAGGGAAGTGCTCAGGGGTGTGTGTGTGTGTGTGTGTGTGTGTGTGTGTGTGTGTGTGTAGAATCAGGCCACCTGGAGAGTGATATCCTCTTAACTGTCAGTCTTCCTTTGCTACCACCCTGAGAGTCCACCTTGGCTAGGTAGGAAGGACCAGTGTCTAAGAACACTTCGAGCAGAGGTTCCAGAGCAAGAGAAGACATTACAGGGCTCACAGGCCATTCAGGAGCCCTTGTGTGGGAGAATGAGGTCATCTCTAGAGAAGTAAAATTGTAGCAACTTGGGACACAAATTCTGAAAGGTTTGCATAAAATGTCACGTTGCCTTTATTATCTAGTAGCCTTTGTAGACATGACCAGAAGATGCCTCTGATATGACCCTGACCTTGACAGTGAGAAGCATATTCTACATGAGACTAAACAACAGCTCCCATGAAAAGTCCCCCCCCCCCTTTTTTTCTGAGATTTGTAAGTGAAATATACTATTATACTCCATTGTCAGGATCAACATGTTTGATAAATGGCCTATCTGTCACTGCCCTGAGTGGTAATAAGCAGTGGTGGTTAAGGAGGTTGGGTAGGTCCAGTTCAAGTTTTATTTCGGTCCATACTGAATCCCAGGGAGTCAGCTCAGGGAAGATGGGAAACTTTGGAGAAGGTGGGATTTGAATTGGGCCTTTAAGAAAGGGTAGAATTTAGGATAGCAGGGGGTGGAAAAGGACATTTTAGGCAGAGATCTGCTTGACCAAAAGTTTGGAGACTTGTGAGTAATTGAAACCATAGAATGTGGAAGGACCCTGAGTGGCAAATAAGGCCAAAAAAATAAGTAGTAGTCAAAATGTGAAGGCTGCAAATTTCAGCTATTTCTACAGTAATCACTTTGTCCCTTTTTAGTGTGGGTCTAGTATACTTGCAGGTAATCTGCTTCCTAAAGGCAGGGGCCGACATAACAACTTCCTTTCTATCTCCCTCAATAGTCCTTAATGCTGTGCCTGGGGAAGGAGTACTGCTTTTATTGACTGACAGATGTGATTCACCACTGAATGAACTCAGTAGTTACACGCAGTTCCTTTTGAGGTTATAGGGAGGCAAGAAACTTGTTCAAATGAAACCGTACAAGAGAATATTATAGCAGATAATAATTTTGCTTCAAGAATTGAGCCACTAGAAGAATGCGAACCTTCCCTGGCAGTGTGGGAGTGGAGCTTAGAGAAAGGTGAAGTGCAGTGGGGGCCATTTAGCTCCATTCAGATGCCGCCCCTGAGACTAACAGCTTCTCTCTCAATGAGCCAGATGGAGGAGAAGTAAAGCAAACTGGAGAACTGACGATGTGTGACCTGGAGAGGACCTGAGTGAACCTAGTTCAGCATCCCCGTTTTCCAGACCTAGAGAAGGTGTGGGAGGTCTGTGTGCTTAGGACAACGGCCACATCTGCTAACTTTGCTCTTTAACCTTCAACATCACTGTAGTCATAGACATGCACTGAGAAAGTTTCTGTGGCTAAGCAGGGACGGGCTAAACACAGTGGATACTGAAAGCAGTTCTCTAGGGCTGCCAGTTCCGCTCTGTGCCCAGCCTTGCAGTGCCTGCTCACCACCACCATTTGACCCATTAAGCTTTGCTTTGTGTGACACAAAATCATTGTACAGGAATGCATTATTAAGTGTGTTTTGAAATGCAAGGGAAAACCAGCAGGCTGTCACTGATTGTTTCATTGTTGGAAGGAAAATAAATAATTAAAATGTGTACAAGGCAAGGCAGGAGCAGTTCCAAAGAGTGTTTAGAAGAGAGGCATTTTTACATCTTATTGATGTAGGTTTGTAAAACATGCTTACTGGTGAACCTAGGGCATTCATGTAAATCACCACCACACACGCGTAGCTCTTCATTATTTATGCCAACCCATGTGATCTTTTCACTAGAATATGTGCACTGGCTTTGGGATAAACAGGCACAGGGTGGGAAATAGAGATATGGCTAACTGGCTGAAACTGGGGTAGCAGAGATCATGGACAGTTGGCAGAGCTAATAATTAAGCAGTAAGTAATAGAGTGGCAGCTCTTTGGGAACACTTTAGATTTCTGGACATTGTATTCAAGATCCAAAATAAAGGAGAGGAACCAAGACTCCCATTCATGATGGATTCTGAGGCAGAGATAGGCGAATAAAACTTCAAGAATGGCATGGCTGATATTAAAGGGTACATCTTGCACACATTCTCATGTGGCCCTGCCAAAACCCTGAGAGTTGGTCGAATGTACATCATTCTTATCCTTACCATCTTTTTCAGAGCACTGAGGTTCCACAGAGTATGTGATTAGCCTACAGCTATCAGTTTTCTCAAGGACTCTGGTTTCATTCATTTGACAAATATTTATTTAGTGTCTATGATGTGCTAAGCATGGGGATGTAGCAGTGACTAGTGCAGAACATACATATTAAATAAATTAATATAAATCTAAGAAACAGTAAATGCAGGGGGCGGGGATAAAGAGTAGATTGTGGGGAGGGACATTTTGAACAGGATGATAAAGAGCTATTTCTGAGGAGGTGGCACTTGGGCAGAGATCTGGGTGGAAAGAGGGGATGACTACCTGTGCCTGAGAAGAGGAGTTCTCTAGGCTGCGAGCATCACCAGTTTTAGGCAAAACAAGGATGCCTGTAGGCTAGAGCTCCATGAGCAAGGGAAAAACGGTTGGATATGAGATCAGAGAACCAGGGGTCCAGTCACGTGGAGCCTTCAAGGAGTAGACAATGGCAAGAAACGTGAAAGTGATTTCAGGGCCAAAGTGTCCATCTAACTGCTGTGTGGAGAACACCTTTCATGATGAGCAATAGTAGAAACAGGGAGACCAGCTTGAAATGTCATAGGATGAAAGGCAATGTGAGAGAAATGAGGAGTAACATTCAGGTAAAGGTTGATGAATTGATGTGGAGTGTTTGAAAAAGAATGATGTCAAGGATTCCTCTTTGGTTTGGGGCCCAAGCAATTACATTCTGAAATGCGGAACACCCGGGGTTCAGGTGGAATGACAGTATTTATTTTTCATATGTTAAGTTTGAGATACTCATCAGGCAATAAAATGAATATTCCAAACTGGCAGCTGGATATAGCAGTATATTATGTTGTTCAGGGGAGAAGTTGGGTGTAGAGATATAAATTTGATAGTGCTGGTATATAGATGTGATTTAAATCTATGAAACTAGATGAGGTGCATCTTGAGAGTAAGTTTAGGTGGAGAAAAGGCCCAAGTTTCCCAACTTTTAATAATTGTCAATTAAAATAGAGGACCACCCCCCAAAATCATTCACACACAAACCCAAACCAAAGCTGAGCTTATTTACATGTCAGGCAAGGAGAAATTCACTATTTCTTTAAGGAAAAAAAGTCAGAGTTTTTAAACCTTAGGAAGAGGGATTTAAGGTGGTTGAGCTAATTCAGAACTGAAAATCAGCACTGTGGATAGGAGAGAATGAGTTTCTAAGTTTGTATGTGATTGTTTCAAACAAGTCCCTTGTTCATTGAAGTCTAGGAAGGGTCGCATGTCCTGGGGGTCACTTGGAATTCATGATCTTTGTCTTTGTCAGCTGATTGAAGCTGCTGTAATGAAACAGTATTCAGCCATGAAATCTCCTAGGCATTTGCTGCTGGAAAGTGGAGAATGCTCATTTGGCACAGCCTGGAAGATGGGGAAGGATCTGGCAAAGAATAGTAAAGAGGATTTGCCACTGAAGCAGGAGGCAAGGAGTATGGCAACCAAGGACTATGTGGTCTCCAGGATACAAGGAATCCAAGAAGTGGGGATGGTTGGCAGGGTCCAGTGCAACTGAGAGGACTAGTAAGTTAAGGACTGAGATGTGTCCATTGTACCTGAAGTTGGAGTCGCTGGTGACCTTGACTTGGAGTAGTAGAGATAGTCTTGATTTTATTGAGTTAAAGAGAAAATGGGAGGGAAGAAATGAGACAGAAGCATAGACAAATATTTGAAGACACTGATCTGTAACAAAGAGCAGAGTGATGGGACAGTGGCTGAAGGAGAGTGTGACGGTCAAGGAAATTGGTATATATTTGCTGCAGATGTGATTGATGGTAAAGGGACAAAACTGATGTAAGGGAAAGGGGGAACTATTGCGAGAGCATATTCCTTGAAAAGAGATGAGATTAGCGCCCAACTAAAGAGGCTGCCATTGCTTATGAGAATACACAGTATATGACAGGAGAGAAGGTAGCCTAGAGAGGTACTGATGTCTGCAAGCTGGGAAATTAGCTTTTCTCTTCTCAATGAAATAAGAAACAAGAATACTGGCTGAGAAGGTGGAGAAACTATGGGAATTGGAGGTTTGAGAGGTAAGAGAGAGTTGGAAGTGGTGGTGCTGGAGAGAGGGAGGTAAATTGAGTTGGTCAGGGAATGCAGTAGGATTCCAGGGCAGTCCTAAGGGTTCTTTTGAGGTTTGTGGCTTTGAATATAAAATGAGGCATGCCAGCTTTGTGGTCTATTTCTCCTCCCCTTCTGTTTCCCTCCTCTCCCACCGTCACATCCATGTCCTGACAATTGTGGAGGAGGAAAGAGGCAAAGAAGTTGCATTGTTTGCAGGGGAATTGTTATAGTGATGAACCCCGGCATCTACTGGGGACATGAGAAAGTGAGGTGCTTTGAAAAAGAGTGGTATCTAGAAGTTGGGAGTTTCAAAGTGCATTTCTCTCCTTTTCCTCGTCAGGTGGTGTCCATGTGAGCCTCACTGGGAGCCGGAAGCTCTTGCTCCTACTTTCCCTTTTCCTATCCGTTTTATCCGTCTTCCTCAGCAGCCAGTACACTCTTCTTGGTCCAGTGGGTTTTAATCACACACTTTCATCCCATCCATTGGTTCTGGTCAGGCCAATTTCACTTAAATTCCTCACATTTTCAGAGGAAGCACCAAAAGCAAAAACAAAAAACCCACCTCCACCACCACCACCACCAACAAAAAAACCACAAGCCTTTCCCTTGCTTACATGGATTGCTTCTCTTGGCATCGCTTTTCTCTGTTGGCATGAGGGGGGCACGGGAAGCAATGGGAAGTAAACAGGGAGCCTCTTCCCTGCGCTTATTAAACACAGAAATGCTTCCTTCTTGATGTTCTAAATTTATAAATATTCCATGAACGTTGGCTAGAATTCACATATGCCTTAGTGCTTTCAATATTGGCAGATAACTTCATCCGTACTGGCTGTGTTTTCTTAGTCTTTTTCCTTCTCAGGTGAGGAGGCCCAGCCTTTTGGCTGATCTCTCTATTTGTACGCTCAGCCTTATGCAGTAAATCACTACCCACCTACCTCTGAGGCTCATGTGAGCTTAGCCTCCTGGCAGAAATTCTAAAGCTTCCTGTAAGGGCGAGAGAAACATTTCTGCTTTCTCTCCAGTACTCAACTTTGAAGATGCCCAATAATTTATTGGAATTTTTTGATACAAAATGCTTCAAGTTTATCTTTAAGGATGACCCACAGTGACACCCATGGCTCTTGCTGGGCCATGATTCAGTCCTCAGATCCCTTCCTTTTGAATCATTTTAGATTTTTTTTTATTGGTGAATATATAACCTGGACCTTGTCCATATTAAAAGTCATCTGTCATTCTGTGCCCTCTCACAGATTCATAAGTGCTTCCTGAAGTGTAGCCCCATCTGCTTGGTGCTTCATATCCAGGAAGTAAATACCATTCCCAAACTATATGTTTAAGAAAAACGACCTCACTTGGAAACCAGGAAATATAGCTAGGTTTGATCTTCCTGTTGTTTCAAAACTACTTAAAAATTTGAGCTACTCTGATGACTCAGACACAGAAGTGCTAATTTTTATTCACATGAAGATCATTGTAGGGATTAGTTGCCAGAATCTTCTCAAAAACACTCACACTCTTGTCGTATTCTGGAGCATGTTCAGTGTGATCTCTGACCTTAGCTATTGCCCTTTGGGGGTCCTGAATGGGCTTTTTGGAGAGCTGTAGAACACCTTGCAATAGTTTGTGGGGTTCCTTGAAATACTGTGTGTGATAGCAACAGACCAGATCAACCTGGTCTGTTGACATTAGTCTCTTGGCCACAGTCAGAATATTAAACTTCTCTCCACCTCAATTTCCCTGCCTACAAAATGAGGAGCAACAATAGTACCTATCCACAAGGTTATAAAAAGTTAATGTAATCAGATATTTAAAGCACTTAACATAGTGCCTGATCCATATGTGCTTAATTCTTATTATTAATTATTTGAAAGTCTAATAAACTCAAACATGCCCTGAAGTAGACCTATCTGGACATGGGCCTCACCTCTCTCAGCCCCGTTGCCCCTTTCTATAGACCCTGCCCCCTTTCAGTGAATTGCCTCTTGACCTATTTTATAGAAATGCTACCAGAAAGATATATCTGGGCAACACATTTGCTTACGAAACAGAACTTATTCTCACATCCCTTCTTTAACAGAAAAAGCCTTGCCTGTCTTAAAACATTAGCAAATGGTGACCGAGTTGGAGATTTCAGGGAAGTACTGCATTAGAGCATGCAATGCCTGTTCATTTGATTTGTAAATTAATTTAAGTATTTAAAAGTCTAAGAAACTTAAATGTGTCCCCAAGTCGACGTCTGTGGCCTCAGATGAGATTACTTTTCACCACACAAAACCCACTTGAGGTACTGTTACACAAAAGAATAATATTGCTTTTGCTCTTTTGTTCTCAATCCTTTTTTTTCACACACAAATGAGCAACATTAATCCTTTGTGGCTTTCTAGACTCTTGGCTCTGGGGGAAAAAACCCATGACCTACCATTTAAAAAATAATAATATAATTGTCAAAAACTCATAACTTGAGTGCAATTTCAACCTTCTCATTGATAAGGCGACAACCCAAATAAGCAACATTTAATGAAGTTACAAGTCTGAACATAATGTATAGTAGAAGCAATATTTGGATGAGATGAATTGAAGTTATCTATAAAGTTGCACAAGTTCCTGGGATAGAGCTATTAGGCCAAGCCATTAAGTGGCCTGGCTTCTAGTTCATCTCCCAGAAGTCTTGGCAGGCCCTTGGTCACAAGATTCAGACTTCTGAGGTTTGGCTGCCCTTGGTAGCAAATGTGCATTGAGGTCCTCAGGTCAATTCAATGTTCTAGTGGTTTGGTCTTTCTCGCCCTCTTTTCCAATAGATGTCATGAAAGCTTCTTATAAACTTTCTTTTAAAAAGTGATATTGATACATCTCCAACAGATGGATTATTATTCTCTCTCTTTTTATGTCCAGGTCACAGCTCCTTAGAGTCACCGACAAGCCTGCCTTCTCCTGTTCCTGATTCTTTTGCATGGAATCTGACCTGGATAATGAAAGATTCTTTCCCTTTTCTGTCTCATCGCAGCCGATATGGTAAGTGTATTTTTGATAGTTGTTTGTGATGTACAAATTATCATCTCAAGGAAGCTGTGAATTTCAGTTTGTTCTCCATGGCTCTCCATGGGTCCCTCATCCCCCAAAACACAAAGGAAGTCTTTCTGTGCCTTTAGTCTTCTGTCAACACTCAGGCCAGTCCTATCCAGACTCAGGATGCATTCTGTATCCTGAAGGCTTTTTTGCTGTGTTATCTAATCGCCCCCCCCCCCCCGCCCCAAACCCCCAGACTTTGTTATTCCCAACATTCCCTAATCAATCATTACATGTAATGTTTATTTGCA